GCTCTTTTCAAATAAATTTAAATGCTATAGCCTCATGTTGTCTTTCCATTTATCTAACAAATACTTTCTACTTTTGTAATATGACTTTACTATTAAAATACTTTTAATGTAAGTTTTAAACTCAGGAAATGGTAATCTTAATATATGCTCCGGAATCTTATTGTAAGAAAGTATACAGTTCCCTATAAAAGAATCGTTTACCTTTGTTAAACAAAATCGTGGTACCATGAGTTTGGACTTAGTTCTAAGGTTAATATTATGGATATCTTCTTTATTAACGAAATTATGTATATTTTTACGGACATAGAAATATTTGAGTAAATATGTGACACAGTCATGATAACAGTCTCCTTAAACTTTTCTCTGAGAGAAACTCGAAAACATAAACGGTACATTGAACGAATCGCTCGTTTTTGCAACACAAATATGGTTTTTATATCTGCCGCTTTACCCCACATGAGGACCCCATAGGATATTGTACTATGGATGTAACTAAAGCAAACTAGTCTAGCACTAGTATCATCGGTAAGCTCACGTATTCTACGGACTCTGTATGCAGCAGAGCTTAATCTACTGACCAAGGAAGATATATGTGGAAATCATTGAAGTTTACTATCTAAGTCACTCCCAAAAAAACAGCTTTATTAACAAAGTCTAACTTTTATCTATTGATTTCTATGATTGGGCTAGTTGATTTTACAATAGGTAATTCAAATTTAACACACTTTGTCTTCTTGACATTGAGCAATAAATTGTTAATATTAAAGCAGTGGACGTTTTCCGGCTGATATGATGATGATGATTAAACCAATAAAATGCCTTTGAAAGGGTATCTTAAATATGCCATATCGTAAGATGTATCATCAGCAAACAATACAAATCCGCTAAGGTCCTTAACAAAGAATGGTAGATCATTAATATAAATGAGAAACAAGAAAGGTCCAAGTATTGAGCCCTGTGGAACATCCATTTTTACCGGAGAACCCAACGAAGGCAGTCCATTCATGTCTACTTTCTGAATTATACCATTAAGATATGACGAGACAAGTTCTTACGCCTTACCATTTAATCCATAATATTCCTAACAAGAGTGATATGGTCCACTCAATCAAATGCTTTTGAGAGTCTATAACTTTAGTCGATATGCCCCAGAGACATTCAGTTTTTTTAACACGTATACTTTTATTAATGATGTCTTATGAATTAACATGACAAAAAAAAGAAGATATGAATTATATAAACCCTTATTATAAATGTTCCAAGGATCCTCAAACAAAAAATATGATAATTATCAATATCGTACTTGATAATGAACACATCACACCAAAGTTACAATCATCTCGGAGACAGCGGTGGTAACTCACTGGAGGGCCGGTTGCTTCTCAAATTGGGAGATCGACATGGTTTGAATCCCGGTGGAGGCATGAGCCATAATGTAATAAGATAAGTAGTGTAACTCCTTAGAAACGTAGCACCGCGGTTGTGTTTTCACGCCTGACACGCCCCGTGTAACGACGCACACACTCGCATAATCTCACAAGTTGCACAGCGAGGGTCGTCACATTCTTTATGGAATTTAAGCGTCCGCTCAGTCTTTAAAAATATATATTTAATATCGAGTTCTTTGGTTTTCGTGAGTGTTACAGGAACTAAGGAAATAAAACTATTTTTTCGGCTCTAAATTGGGTATATTTGTTTTTTCAAACAAATTAACGTTTCGGATCCTTTACAGGTCCCGTAGTCACGGATGACTGAGAGTCACCCGTAATACAAATATACGTGATTTAGATCCTAAAAAATGGTTTCATTTCTTTGCCGAACAGGTGGGAGCACTTGTTTTATGATATGCATGTACTTATGACTTCAATTTCTAAGCTATTTACACGTGTGAATATTTAACAGCGTCAAAATGAAACTGACTGTGAAGAAAAACGTGATAAAACGCTGAATAACCTTTGGGAAACGTTTGACCTAAATCGTCTCCTTAGCAGAGACCTGTACCCAGCAGTGGAACATAATAATGGTTTAACGGTAATAATGATGACGATAACTATTTCAAATAATTTATATCTTACGGATGTAACACTATACACCGTCTATCGTTATTTTTTTTATCTATATTTATTTGGGAACCTTTGTGCGGTATGTGTACATGTCAGTTTCATCGTATCCTAAACTATAGCTTACTTGTCTAGGCGGTGTTGCTGGAGATTCGATTCACCAACCATAACAGTATTTTTGCCCGTTTTGTGTGGAGATTGCCCAGTGTACAATTTATAGCACCTACGGGTGTTCGGTGAAGAGTCGATAATACCTTAGCTCGAATTCATTCAAATTTGTCCCGTACGAATTTATTTTTATTTACAAACGATATTAAAGCCATTTAAAAATGTGTATCGTATAGTATACATGTTCTATGTAAATCAGTTGATATAAAAAATCGTTAATATATGTTACAGTACGGTTTTCTTGTAAAATTTCGAGGTAAATTTGCATTCTTTTAAAAATTTTTTGGAATCGTCTTTTCACACCATATAGTAATCAGTGTATCCTCAATTTTACTTGTATGTTTTTCCAAAGTAAATTGATTCAACACTTTCACTGTTACGCGGAATCAACAAAACCATTTGAGGTTGTATACACTCATTTTTATAGACATTTGATGTTGATAATCTGCAGATCTCTCGTCAACGTCACCCTCTGTTGCTCCTACTGGATACTTTCCAGTAAAAAGTGATATTCTTCGTCCGCTACTCCACATAACTCGCAGTCAGGAGAAATGTTTTCATTAAATATTTAAAAATATATATAATTATACTTACTTTACAATAACATTATCGTGAAGTAACGAAACTCTTTGTAATAAAGTTTTAATTGCCTTGATGAATACTTCAAGTGTCATGCATGTGAACAAAAGTTTATAACAACCTTAATTTAATTTCAACTGGTTTTTCTATTTTAATATAAGTTTTATGTCGTCATATTAAGATTTTGTTTGCAATTCATCAGCATTGACGTTAACGTCAGGGTACTCGGTAAGGAAAGTAAATTATACAAATATTATAATACAGAATGATGTTGTTTACCTGTATAACAAAATAAACATAGGTCTTATACGTTTTGTTATATAAGCATACTTTATTTGTTTTTAAATTATATCTGTATCTATCTAATTGGTCTTTAAATTATATTATAGATCTTTCCTGTTTAATTCCCATGGAGGGCAATTGACTAATGTGCGCAAAAATTACAGTTATGTAATAATATTTACGTACTTTACAATCTAAAATAAATTACTAAAATATAAACAAATAATATTTAAATTTAAACTTGTTTGTATTTAACTATTTATTGTTATAATTTGTACTTGTATCGAGCTTAGATTATTAGTATAAGAAAATTTGCGCGTTATAAAAAAATCGCATAATTTTAATTTTAATTGAAGAAGTAAGAAATGATAGACGTTGGTCGTTGTAAATAGAAAGTTGTTTACATTTGTCATATCCAATAATAATGTAAGAATATCATAAGTAAAAGCATGGGGATGACTGGCGATCTCAATGTCGTTTATCGAAAACTGTTTTGCATCACAAACAACAAATCTTCATACCGCCGATACCCTATCGTTATGGTAATTCATAAGTTTGCGATTGACATGACGGTGAAACCGGATATATTCATTTATTTCTACGAATTCTGTGTCTTTCTCACACTTTCTAAAATAACACGGCTTTATAGAGACAGTGCTATATTATATAGTATGAAGCTGTTCTTATATTTGAATGCAATGTTTGCTTGACCCGTCACGCGGCCTTGAGACATACGATGACTCTAACTGTGTTTTCATCCTCCATTTTGAAAAAAATGGATAAAACAAAAAAATCCAAAATCATTAGGGACACTGTGAGTCTCTAGGACGCGTGACGAATTGATATATAGGAAATGAAACTATTTTTGCATCTATATCGCGCATATTTGTTTTTCAAACCAATCAACATTTCGATTTAGTGTGTGCTACTAAAAAAATACCATAATCGTTTTGAAAATACGCGGTTACTCTCATGGATTTCCATCATCAAAGAAAACAGAATGGTATAGCAACATTTCTAATTCCATATTCACATCCATAGATGGTACAAAGTACATTTAAGTGTGCGTAATAATAGGTTCTTTGTCCATTTTAATATTTTGTTAACAATACCCTGTAATACCGTAATTAATATTATATTAAAGGTTAGGAAACAACACTATTTTTTTCGAACGTAAATCGCGTATATTTGTTTTTTCAAACAAACCAACGTTTCTTGTTCGAACTTTGTAACTGTAGTAAAAAATAGGGTGGTCTGTATTAACATTACATAGTGGTTGATTATTTTCCTATGTCAGGTAGCCGTGACCATAAAACATGTAAAGGTCTCGAAACGTTGGTTACGTTTTACAGTTTGAAAAAAAAACAAAACACAATTTAGATCCGAAAAAAATTGTTTTATTTCCAATATTTAACAATCGCAAAAACCTAACATTATTTATTTAGAGGATTTTTATTCAATTTTGGCTAAAATATAAAGTTAGGATTGACTACCAATGAAATAGGTATACGCTAATTAAACAATACAATATATTTCCCAGAAATGTTCAGTATAAATGATAGCAATTAACGCCCACGAGCTTTTTAATATTTTATTAAGCGGAAAATACTACAGATATTAGAAAAGTTAGAGAAAATTACGTAAATTATTTGTACACCACTAGGTGACCTTTAAAATTTAAAAGGCAGTAAAGAAATTTGTCAATAAAATGTGTCCTTTTTAAAATATGTTAAATGTCGATTAACACTTATCCACAAAAATTTTTTCACATTTAACGTAGTCTAAAAATTTCCATACACGGTAGTGTATAAAAGTACCTAATGATTTCTTTTTTAAATTTCGAAACAGATTTATCTATGGGGATTAGTTCAAAAACGTTATGAACTAAAAAATTAACAAAAAAACTCTTACCTTTCCAATGAATAAATTTCAGGACGGTAGCCCTAAGGCACCTGGTATACACTTCAACAAACTTGAAACACTTCCCGAACAAAAGGTACGTAGTCACGGTATACTTTACCATCCATTGGTATTCACCGGTGCCAAGTTGTCACTATCACAGCACTGTTTGATGGCAATTTTTTGTAGTAGATATTTGAAGGGGCGAACATAAACCTTTATGTCAGACGGGTATTAAAAATTTACGTCGTGTCGCGGCAAGCGAGGAGGCACGGCCGTCGCGTTCAGCTACCTTGGACTCACTGACGTTAGGCGGGTATTCTGGTAACCGCAGAATACAGCTTTGTCGCTTTACCGCTGCCTCTCCGAGGCAAATAGGGTTAGCCAGATTTCAATTAAGTTGAATTTGTATTGTACGAAATGTTCAGGTTCTGTATTTCGATTTAAATTTATTATAACAATTTACATTTCCATGGTATCAAGAGCTCGTGTCTTCTTTGGTATATAAAGTCACAAGTAATCGAAATCTGAATAAATACATTTAGATTTCTGTGCATGAAAGTTATAAAAATAATATGATTTAGACGAAACAAATTATATACATATATGTGGAATTTTATAAGCCTCCAATTTTTTGTTTGACATAAAAAATCATCGACTAATTTCGTTCTTAGAGTTTTAAACCTCTTTCCTGAAAAGTTGCCATTTTGCAGATATGGCCTTATTACTTCAATGGCGCGGGGTCTTGATATAAAACGGATTTGAAATTTATTATGTAAAAAATCTTTGCTTATCTAACCAAAAAAATCTAAATTTTCTTCAACTTTTTTAGACTGTATGACGTCATTCAGTTATTATGATCCCAAAGTAAAGAACTAAAGCACTTGTGCTATGGAAATCGGAAACAACGACGGTACCACAAACATCCAGACCCGAAATAATATTGAAAAGTTAGTTTTTCCACATTGACCCGATCGGAGATCGAAATCAGAACTTCAGATATGACGACACCGTGAAAAGCGGTGTATAAACTACTTGACCACGAAGGTTGTCTCTTAATTTTACTAGACATTTCATAAAAAAAGGAAAATACAATTTATTAATGATAAATGAATTTACATAAATGGATCTGTGAGTATATAGGTAAAAATTATAAAAAAACTTCAACCCGGCATTACATCTATGTTTATACTCCCTTATATAATAAATAGCATTTAAGACTCTACAACTTCAAATGACTTTGGTTGATTCTGCATAACAGTGAAAGTGTTGAATGAATCACTTTGGAAAAAAATATGTGTACATATAGTATACTAGATGATATACTCTTATATACGGTGTGAAAAGACGAATACTAAAAATGTTCACAATGGAAAAAATCACAAACTTACCTCAAAATCTTACAAGAAAACCGCTGTATTAAATAGGTACTTTACATCTACCACTGTTTTTTTTATATCAAATGAAGTAAATAGAACACGTATAGTATACGATACACATTTTCAAGAGACTTTAATTTCGTTTATAAAAAGTAAATTCTAAAATAAAGCCAGCGTCCTGTCGCACGACACGCGTCAGCGTCGATTCAGTACGGGAAAAAATTTAACTCGAGCTGAGGTAGACTCTTAATTACTATTTTAACTGAAAACTACTGACGCAATAAATTGTCCGATTATAAGCGTTAATACTCTACAAAGGTACGAATTGTTTGGCAATTTTCGAGTGGTACCGGGAGCAGCTAATTACAACCAGATAGACTTCTTTTACACGACTCATAAACTCATAAATTTGGGCTATATCGAACATATTAATTAAAGGCATCTCAGTAGCGTAAAGTTCGAAGACTAAGCAAAGTTACTCACACGTCTGAAACTCAAATTAAGCACAGTACTTACACGAACTCAGCGATAGCAAACTTTCGCCTTAGTCTTACGTGGTCTGACTTTCAGGAAAAGTTTTTGGGACTCAGGCAACCACTAATTTTTTGGACTGAAGTCGAAGTTCCTAGTGTATTACTTACCTTTGCCGATGAATAAGACTTAAGTTTTCTAAATTAGAATCAACTATGAGCTTTTGCATGATGCGTGACCAAAAAAACCAGTAGTACCGTGCTAGTACCTAGCAGTTTAGTAGGCGTGAAGTCCTTGTGAAAGAATTCTTACAGGGAAGTAAATCCACTTTACCAATTCCTGCCGCGAAGCAGCATTACTGCGTCCCAGTTTTGATGGGTATGGGCACTGGTACTATAGGCACATGGAACTTGATAACTTTATGATGAACATGATGACGGGCGCAGTGGCAATGCTCCTCAGATCTTTGCGATTCAAAGCTCTAAGTGGCACTGTAACTGCTACGAATAGGCGTGTCGCTTTGCACCAGGCGTACGACTTGTTCGTCCCGTCATTTAATGTAGTAAAAAAAGTAAATATAAATAAGTTAATATTAGATATCATCAAATACGTTGCTCTGATCTCAAAATACAGAAATATACTAAAGCACTTGTGTCATGGAAATCGGAAATAACGACGGTAACAAAATAGAAAAAATAGTTTTCTACATTACATTAAAACCCGGGACAACGTGTGCAAGCCACTCGACTAAGGATGTCGTGTTGATTGTGAAGCAACCATTCCCACTGAGCTAATACCGCTCGTTAGAAAAGAAATACAGAAATTCTTATAAATTGCTATTGGTTCAAGCCATTTAGACGAATCTCGAATAATTTTGTTACAATATTAATGTACAATCACGGAGTCTTTAAAGTTTTATTAAAATTTGTGTATACAAATTGTGTTTTATTGAATGGTTTAAGTATGTTTTTTACACCAAGCATTAGATTTTTTTTTTGTAAGGAAAACAAACATAGAACGCAAGACAACAGAGCCTTCAACTGGTACTTATGTAACTCGAATCAAAAGGAAAACAACCTTAATATTACTCAGGTTAAAGCTTTTGTTAAGTATTTAAAATACTATGATTACCTAAAAAATTAGAAGTGTGATCAAATGGCTGCCATAATGGATTCGCTTTGCGCTAATGTTTTCCTCAATTTAGGAGGAATGTAACTTAAATAAATGATTTTAAAGAGAATATAACGTCGGAAGAACATTACCACCGCTAATTCTTCTTTTATTAAAGTACTATAGCATAGTAACGTAGCTTGGGCTAGCGTAGCGAGAGGTACTTTATAAATATAAACGACGATTATATCATAATTATAACTTTATACGTGTATTCAATTTCGAAGCTTTGTCCAGAACTCTTAGATGTCTGTTTGACATCAACACTATTATTCTTACAATTCTAAATACAAAACCTAAGCTGCCTGTACTATATCCCTCTTCGTCACAACTGAAGGGGTGAACATCCCTAGCTAGTGCCCTACCTATGATAGGTAACATATATATGTGATCAGCCTTAAACTGATTTATAAATTCGTCGACGTCATTCAACCCCGTAAACTTTTGCGCCGCAATACAATGCATATTCTTTCTTGCTCTTTTTACTTGCACAAGAAATAAAACAATAAAATAACTAATATAAATCAAAATTACGACCTTATATATGTTTTCTTCTTCCTCTTTTTGAAGATTTTTCGTAAAATTATATAAATTTTTTCCACATTGCAATTTCCACGTAAGGCGATCGTACACCACTTACCCGGCGCCTCCACCTCTTGTAGCATAGGGACGTAGCTTGGGCTTGCGTAGCGAGAGGTACTTTCTAATTTTAAACGACGATTATAATCATAATTATAACGTTATAAGTGTATTCGACTTCGAAGCTTTGTCCAGTACTCTTAGATGTCTGTTTGATATCAACACTCTATTATTCTTAGAATTCTAAATACAAAACCTAAGCTGCCTGTACTACAGTACTAACTATGACTCGAATTAGCACTGACATAACCTTCAGTTAAGAAAAAGCTGGAACTGTAGATTCTGCCATGAAGCGGAAGTGACTACTCACACCTACAGTAACACTAGAGCTCATTGTCAAAGAGTTCACCCAAAGAACCAACCAACACTAGTAAAACTGCTAACTGATTGACTGCATGTTTGCAGTCAACGGCGTACTCAACTTCATACAGTCGAGAACTCGGATAATAACTTCACACATTTAACTGCATGAAGTCGAAAGCGACTTCTCGAAGTCGAGATCGACTGCATGCAGTTAATGCATGAAGTTGATTAGGACTCCACGCATTAACTGCAAACATGCAGTCAATAAGTTATATATGTAATTTTTTATTACATTATGTATACATATAAGGGTTCCACTTTTAAATTACAATAAATCTAATTAATAGTTTTATCACCCAGTTAGATACCTTTACAGCTATCAGCCCGGCGACAGATGACGCTATTCACTGTATTTTAAATTTTTATTGAATTGAAATTAAATTATTTTTGTGAAATTACTCCACTAGTTTTAACAAAAATTTAAATTACAGTGAGTAGCGACATCTCTCGCCGGGGTTGGTAGCTGTAAAGGCATCTAGCTGGGTGATAAAACTTTCATAGATTTCTCATAGATGGCGCTACGATCTTTGTATTAATAATTATAACAAACTAGTGGAGTAATTTCACAAAAATAATTGAATATCAATTCAATAAAAATTTAAAATACGGTGAATAGCAACATCTCTCGCCAGGGCTGGTAGCTGTAAAGGTATCTAACTGGGTTATAAAACTTTCATAGATTTCTCATAGACGGCGCTACGACTAAAAAGTCGTTGAAAAACCAAATACAAAGACACGACAACAAGCACATAGAAAAATTTGTGAGGTCCGCTGGTTCGTTCCGTGGCTTAGTTGGTATAGTGTCTGGCAGGTATGCTAGAAGACGTCGGTTTGAATCCGGCCGGATCGAAGGAATTTTTTCTGAGTGTTCGATCTTTGTATTAATAATTATAAATTTTGTATTTTTTTGTTGTAATTGAGTTTAAAAGGCTTTTATTGCCGTAGCACCACCTGAGAGAAACTTACGAAAGTTCACTTTCACTCACTTCACTCAGCTAGGTTCTTTTACAAATTCGTAAGATCTGTTGGTAATAGGGAAAAGACATTGGTTCGAGTCCAGTCGGATCAATTTTTTGTTTTTGTGTTTATTCGATTTATGTATGGTTGTTAAAACATCACGTTGTTCAATAAAATAAATATGAATCTTTAAATTTTAGTTTTGTAACTAGGTACCTACGGAATCACTAAAAATATCCAAATTACATAGGCTGTG